GAAGGAACTGAGCATGGAGCAGGCTGGAGCTATACAAAAACTGTAGCGTCGCTGGATACGGAATCTATAAAAGATTTCTGAAAGTAGCATATTCGTTTTGAACAGAATGGACTGAGTTCATTTGCACAACAACAAGCATCACCGAACATGAACCGATCGATAAGTATTGTATCATTGACTTCTACAAGTATACCTTCAAGGAACTGAAAAAGGTCTGTAGAAGACAGTCTGTAGAAGTCAGGAGCCTGAAGGAAGGACCCACGGGGTTGGCAGCACCAGACATGGCCTTATTGATGGAGCGTGATGGTTTGAAAGGGAGACTGATCACGAAGGTTGTTGCATCTCACAAGCAGCTCGAGGAAACTCTGTATGAATGGAACACGATGTCAACTTGGGTCATCGTCTATCCAATTGAAAAGGAAGGAAACAGAAATGTCATTATGGACATCTTGGAAATTGCGAAGAAACATTTGGAAAGCGGTGGGAAGATTGTAACAGCTTGGCCGCTTTCGACAGCTCCAATAGAATTGGAGTGGAGAGAGATGTTGAAGCTGTTGAACACTGTTGATGAAGCACTGTCGAAAATGGGAGGCGAGGATCGGATATTTACGGCCAGCACCTGGATTCTTTAAGGGGAGATATTCATTGAGACAGGGAGTTTAGAGTCCTCAAGCCAGTTCTGCGATCCATACAAGGGTATGGCTGCAGCAGAAGTGCTGTACTCTGCAATCCGGGAATGGGCCAAAGCATTTTAGCTCCCCGATATCGACCGGTTGTCTAGGACGACGACTTTGCGGCGGGGGCATGTTGAAGAGAGAGGGGAAGGAGGAGCAGGTCATGGAGCAGCCGCCCAAGCGTAGATCATATTGACGCTGGGCGACCGCAAGAGCACTCACGAAGGGGTGCGGTGCGGTGCGAAAGTTGATCGGGACCACCCGTCCGATCGCAGTAACCTATGACCTCCTCTTTCTATAAAAGAGCTCAGAGCTGAGAAGTAGCACTTCCTCCTAAGGCCATCGCCGACGCCTCCACTGTGTCGCCTCCACCGTGCCGCCTCCACCGTGTCGCCTCTACCGCCGTCTCCTCCACCACAGTCGCCTCTACCACAGTCGCCTCCACCTGCGTCGCCTCCATCACGTTCACCGCCATTGCGCCACCGTCGCCGACACTACCACCGATTGCTACACTTGCCACCGCTCCACAGTCGCCACCGCAACCGCTTCACCTCGTCTTCCCAGGCGTCATACCCACTTGTTCGTTAATTCTAGTGTTTTTTTTTGTTAGTAAAACCTTAAGTTTGGAAAGCTGTTCTGTTGTGGCAAAGGGGTAGCTTCAAATCCTAAACACATCCTTTTTGGGGGTACAGTACCTTACACAGCTAGTGGAATAAACAAGTCGATGATAATTCTGATTAGCTCACAGGACTTGAGCCATCGATGTTTTGCACTGGCATGATTGTGGTAGTACTCCAACGGCTATATAAACACCTACTGAGCACACCTCCGGTCATTCCACATGGTGCTGCAGTAGCAGCTGGAGGGCGACGAAGGGTGGAATGGAGAATGAGAAGAGGAGGCGGAAGGTCTGGGATTATGCTTTGATTCTATGGTTATGGCGATGTCCTCTATTATATAAAACTCCTATTTTTTCCACCTGCGTCACCTTCACGAGGTGTTGTGTTGGTGTTGCAGGTGGAAGAGACCACAGTGGAGGACATAAAGTCCACGCGGGTTAGAAGGTCCCGACGGTCGAGGGGGGGGGACAATCCTGGTGTGCAATAAACAATGTAAGACTACAAAATTTCATCGCAAAGGAGTTTTAGAGTCTTTCGCAATAAAATTTTGAACTCTTACATTGTTTATTACACATTCAGATCAACATGAGACTTCGGGACAGAACTTCTGAAGTATCGTCCTACTATATATAATTCGCCAAGTATGTCTGTGCGTGTGTGTATGTGTGTACGTCTGTTTGTCACAAAATTCATAGCGCGCTTCTCTGCAAGAGTGGAGCGCTAAATTTTCAATTATGCTGCAGGGGGGGGGAGAGGATATATAGTAGGGTCACAAAGTAATAACTGCTATTAAGGTCCGATAAAAGGCACTCAAACGCCATATTCACGATATCCATAGCGTCCTAGCATCACTAATGCGTCGGCTCCAAGAAGTGATGTAGAGGGTGGGATGATGTTTGGTGAGGGTCAGAAAGTGATATCGGCCGACAAGATCCGATAAGAGCGGCTAAAACACCAAATTCTCGATATACATAGCACGCGTCCCAGCACCAGGGAGGCTCTGGTTTCAAGAAGCCAGCTAACGCATTTTGCGAAGCAACTCAATGTTTAGCCGTGAAGCTAACGCTTTAGCGGCTGCCCGGCTCATGTGCGCGGTAGCGTGAGAAGCTAAACTGATTCCATACTACCAGTTTAGCTCAGCACGCTACCGCGCACATGACGAGGAAGCCACAGGTGATATTGGACATCCGATAGAGCTCTGAGCTCCACTGCTAAACATTACGTTGCTCCGTAAATGCGTTAGCTGGCCGCTCCATACCCTTTGGTTGCCCCCTCGCTGGAGCTTACTGTATGGTACGCCCGGTGGAGTGCCGTATTTGTAAACAACCGTCATGATCGGATGTCGGTGTAATTTAGCGGTCGAATAGTATTCGACGTTAAGATAGGAATATTTCGTACGCGTTATCGCAGCTCTCAAACATCAACAAAACATCCTTAAAAATTCGGGAAAGCGTAGCGGTCTAACGTAGCGTATTCCGGGCTGATAATGACAACGCTAATAAAAGCAATTGAAATGAAATGCGCTATCCAAAATTTGAACTCGAGTGATCTCCATATCCTTGCGCATTTCGCTATTATTAATCGTTTCTGACCCGCACCAAAGATGTTCCCGGGCAATCCTCTACATCACTCGTTGGACCCAACGTCTCACTGCTGCTGGGACGCGCGATGTGAATTTTGTGAAATTTGCCTTCCAGCGCCTCTTGTAAGCCCTTATCCGCAACAGCGCTTCATAGCAACAGCAAAGCGCGTTATGAATTTCTTAACACAGTGACGAAAACGCGAGTTTTGGCTTTTTTGGCCACGTGGGACCGCGGCGAATTTGCGGGCGCGCTCGCCTCATGTCGTTCAAGCAGATTTTTAGTGATAAATACACTACTAATGATCAATTTATGAGCAAATCAGTATATTGTAATGAGTACAACATACCCACGGGGTACAGTAGTGGAATTTCCATCGAGTGGCATGAAATGACACACATACCGTCGTCTCTAAGGTTCCGTGTCTACTTCTACTACTACTTAAATCATCACATTCATAAAATGAAAAAGTATATGAAGGATTCATTGAACTGGAGATTTCGTATGGTTCAGAAATCTTCTTCTACTTGAAGCATACGTGACCATTCTAAGGGCCACTATGTTTGTAGCTACGTCAAAGTCTCTTCCATGGAATGAATGTAATGATGCGGGGGATATATATCCCGCACGGTCCGACATGTCCTGCAATGCGCGAGGATATATATCCCCGCGTTGTCGTCAATGTGTTAACACATTTGCGATAAAATGCTTCTAGCATGCTCTGCTGATATCCAGCTCTCCGTCTCGTCAAAGCATGCTGGAAGCATTTTATGCAGATATCGTTAGAAACAGCATACCCTCACGGCTTCCATCAAGTGCGTCAAAGGCCACATTAAACACACAGGCACGTCTAATCTGGCTCTGAGATTTCGTCTATACAAGCTTCTAACTAATCTTTTATTATTTCTTTATTCTTAACTTATTGATATTTTATATTTACACCAGCTTTGCTCCGCCCGGTATCGCGCGTATCATAAGACATAAGATTCCACAGGCGCTTCAGGTATATTTATCGCACATAGCTCTGTAAGCACTCGGCCATTCTCCTGAATTTTGATATAGGGCCATATAGCCTCACAATTAACTTGCAACATTGAAGTGCGCATCTAATGCTGATCCTTCATTCACAAGGTTCGCATATCCTGAGCTTTGGCTGTCATTAAGTGATTTATGGTCTTCTTGGTATTAGATCAAGAATGGAATGTACCATTTGCCAAGAATCTGCTCAAACCAAGCGGACTATATCGGTAGAATGTCCGCGACCCATCCTTAATAACACTTATGAAAAGAGCCCCATAATGCCAACGTAAACTGTGCAATGGAATTGCCGGCTTCTGCCTTCTAAAACTCCTTATACTCCCTATAATTGCCATCATTTTAGTCGCCCACCTACAATGTCTACCACCCCATATAACACTTGTTGTTATGAACGCTCAAGTTTCAATGTCAACTGCTCAACGGAATGGGGACCTGTGAGTTCAAGCCGCCCTGACAGCCCTTATTATCCTAGCATCCTATTTCACCCACAGGGTCTCGGTCCCACCACACATAACACTTGTAGGTATGAACGCTCTAGTGTCAACGCGAACGCTTGAGTCAAATTTAGTGAAAAGAAGAAATTGAAGATTTGGAGAAAAATTAAAACGAAAGTAAAGGAAACAAAGGAAAGTAACTGAGAAATACACAGGTGCGGGAAGCAGCAAATGCCTAAAAACTCGCTTGAATTTGTCGCGCGGTTTCCCACACGCGGCAAGCCGCGTGTACGACGTCGCGCGGTGACTGCCCACAGGCTTAATCCTTAGCTCTTACTTTACACCCGAACCCCCGAAATGAATTCGATCCTACTGAATGGTTGCTCTTATACTGGTGGGAAAGTGGTATCACAATCACGATATCTTTCGCCTCTAGTCGACCGTTTTGCGGACTGACAGACAGACGTGCAAACACGCACACAAACAAACCGACACACCAAACTTCTGCTTTATATAATGGAGTGATTCCCATTTTATTTATTTTTCAAAATTAATTATTTTATTATCGTTTGTATTTTACTTTGCAACAAACGGTGTTTCGCAACTCAGAAGCTGCTGCGCTGAATTTAGCAAAGTGTTGATGCAATGCTTACCAGGACAGCAATATTTTTTTTTGAATTTTTCGTTGACCACGCATTCGGCTTCCCACTTTTCCTTTGCAGCCAGAACCGTGCCTTCCACCCTATTGCAATCTTCGTCATTTCCGCACTCTAAATGACCTCCTCCGGCTTTAGGTATTGCTTTTCCAGTTTCGCAAAGATAAACTTCCGAATCATTCTTGGCCGAGTCTGCAAAATATGGAGTAGCAAGAGAAGCTGACACGGGGTTCCTGTTTGAAGTAATTAAAAGATATCAGAATAGGAACTGAACGCAATTCCGACTAACTTCAAGAGTTACTGTCTAGGACCACTATACTGTCAAATACCTACAGGAGCAACAAAGCCGCGCTGATGTTCCTGGTTTCAGAGGATCGATTGGTTTTCCTTGATCTTTGACGTTTACGCATATACCTCTGAAAATGCCTTTGAAGAACAAAAAGTTTCACTGCTCACTGCTAAGCTTACCCTTTGCCGGCTGTTCTGCAGTCACCGTCATTGTTGCACTGCTTCCCGCTCTGAGTATAACTTGCAAACGCTGCGACTTTCTCGTCGGCTTGATCTTTGACCGATTTCAAATCACTCGTGCAGTCATCTAAAGACTTCTTCTATCAGAGTTCCTCGCAGTCACTAGGATGGAGTTCATCACAGTAATCAATTTGCCACAACCATAATTCTTTGCTTACTCAAATCGGATGGTAAGCTTGATTTGTTATTTCATGCGCGAAACTAACCCTCTGCCATTGCCAACAGCAGAATTAAGGCCAGTTATGTCACATGGGACAGCCATGCTAGTCGTTCTCTAATCTCAGACTTGCCGACTGTGACGAAGGCTGAAGGCGATGAAGTAATGAGTGTGTTAGTAGTGTTAAGTGACATGCACTCGATATCCGAAACTTGTGGTAGGTGTGTCACCGGAAGTGACGTGCACTCGATAGAACTTGGTGTACTTGTTTCCAACATCCATTGCTGGATACCAGCATTCTGGTAACAGTTTCTCCGAGCCATTTTTTATCAAGTGTACGTCGCTGCCGAAGACACGCCTACCCCATGTTTCGTATATCAACTGTAGGATTGGGTTCTTTGAAGCGAACCTTGCAGTTGCAGGTTATCGCCCTAGAATGTTTCTGGTGAAGAAGTCTTTAGTGTTTCAGACGCTGACATTCTCCTATTCGTTGAGCTGTGTTTTAAGTCGCTAGATTGTCGGCAACAAGAGTGTGGACCGGAATAATAAATACACAGAACACAATAGGACAAGAACAATACAAACACATTGAGAACTATCATTATTTTTGATAAATACTAGCCAATGCTCTACTTACACGATTCTAAACAAGTCAATGCAGCATTTCTATCGAATATGTGAGGTGTCCGAAGAGGAGAGTGAAATAAAGGAAAGTAAGCTGTCGAAAATACAGGAATTGCAGTCATGTCTCTTTTACTGCCAACCGACCACAGTCCGGTGAGTTCTGTGCGCAGGGTCGTTAATGAAGCCTTACTGCATGTTTTCTTCAGCTGCGTCGACGTTTTAAGTCTGCGACTTGTCACAAAACTCCTCCTTGGTTCCCCGTATAACTTGTTTGACTGTTGGTACAGACCAGACTGTGTTACTCAGGAATATTTTCGCTCTCCTGAGCACACCAGTCTTTATTTGGCGCCTTCAGCGTTTCGACTCGAGCCATGTGGATTCCTCGTTACGTTAACATTCTACGGTTCATGTGGTCATCTTTCTAAGGCAAAAATACTACTACAGAGTGCTTGAGTACAGTATCAGCTGCGCTGATGAGCTTAAGTGAGCACAAAAAAAGAGTATTTCTAGTATAAAATGTCAAGCATGAGTATATATATAATGTGTATATCTAAGAGAATGAACCTTAGGCGTTATGTGAGTCGTACAGGCACGCTGATTTCTGGGGAGGAGGAATATGGGAATGCTTATCCATCCCGTGGTTCCTCCTTTTTCTAAGGCTTAGTCCTACTAGAAGAGACAACTCTGGGGTCGGTAAGCACACTATATGGGAAGAGTAGTTAATGTCAAAATTGGTGTACCCACCCGAAAAAAACCGGCTGCTGACGCAGGTAAATGATTAATTCGATCAAGCCGCTCAAGCCTTGCCCAATCCATAAAATTTGTTATGCACTGCCAAAACTCTTGTCTTCTTCCACAATAGCCTTCAAACCATGGAGCTATCACGATGAGTGGGATGCGGAAATATGACAAAAGGAAACTGCAGCTGCAACTTTCAGTACTTGTAGTTTCAAAATAGTTGTCACGGAGTGAAAGTTTAACGACGAGATTGGTGGATGAGGACCATGGGCCATCGGAGTAATGTTTATACTACGCATTTTCGACATGAAAATGGAGGATTCACGACACCTTACATCGTGGTTGCCACTATTACACTAGTCAGCATCAAGAAGAAACAAGCAATTTGCTCTACAGAGAAGTACTCAAAACTTACACCGCCACTAAGACATCTGAATCGGTGGTCACCCGAACAAAGACAGTAGTTGTAAGGAGTACTTGTTAATATGTGTCACAGAGTGACTACGCGGTGAAGAAAGCTCAGTGTTGAGTGAAATGGAGTAAGCGCATAAGGGCGGACTTGCTGAAAAATCAGCCGGTTGCTTTGCAGCACTAGTGTTGCGCTCCAATAAAGGACTCGCGCGCGACAGCGTTGCGCGCCCATCTAGATTTATAGATGCGGTCCAGGGCTAGGTCCGCGCCTTTGTCTCTCTCAGAAGACGGAAACCTACGCAACATGAAATTTTACTGTAAAGAAGCCGTCTCCAAATTATTGCGTAAACCCTAAGAGATCAGCTATGATCAGCTGATCTGAGCACGGTAGGCCAAGGAGGAGGCGGTGGTTGTTGATCGTGGGTGGTCATGGGAGACCGCCTTGGAGGCAACTGATTGGCGCGGGAAAGTCCAAATAAAAGGGGTCCGAGTTCCTTTGTACCATCTCCAGTCCAGTTCCAGAGCTCCGGTGTTCCAGAGCTCTGGTGTTCCAGATTCCAGCGTTCCAGTGTTCCGGTGGCACCTGTGTGGTGCCTTAGTGTGTAGTTGGTTGTGAGCTGTACGGCCCGTAAGAAGAGGGCCCAGGCTCAGAAGCAGCTTATGGCGAAGTGACAGAGCTTCAGTGGCTCAGTGATTTGGCCTTAAGTGCCTGTAGGAGAGGAGCTTTGTGGCTCTGATGAATTGGCCTTTGTGCCGTGTTTGGGAAGCAGCCTCACGTGGGCTCGGAGAAGGCTTTCGTGCTAATCGCAGAGAAGGGATTGCGCCGTGCACCTGGTTGCGAGATCAGCTCGGTAGCCCCGGTCCATCGATACAACCGCTTCCGGAGTCGCCGTGATTCTTTTCTCTGTATTGTATATTGATTGGTGATTTTTCGTGATCTAATAAACTTTCACTGGCTTCTACTTGTTCCAGCACAGTTATTAAGGGTATATCTCCCACGTCGCAGATACGAATCCATCTTAACACTACACGGGGTAACGCTAGTAATCGCAGATTTCTATTGGGTTAGCAAAATTGAAGTTGCGCTTCCGTTTGTGCCTTTGTTTCTCAGCTTAGACATAATCCTTAGGACGACAGACCATTTATTCGAGAGAGCGATTCAGCACGCATATTGCGCTTAGGCACCATTAAGTGGATGATCCTCGAGTCAAAACTTTTGCTCAAAGATAATTGATCAGGAATCATCGTCTAGGCGTATATATTCAATCAAGAAAATATGGCCAACGAATCTCACTCAATCTGTTGTGTGCAAAACATTGAGCAGTAACAAGCATCTAGCCTTTGATGCACTTTCAGCTACCGTTTGAGCTCTTCCATGCCTGAGATGAAGGAGAGGACAAAGGGATTTTGACCACTAGCTCAGGATGACGGAGAAATAAAGAAAGTCAACGAATTGAGTTCTCGAAAAACTGCACAAAACTTGCGTGGGAAAGAGACGTTTTACCTCCAGCGCCATATAGCCCAGGTCTGGCGCCGTCCGACTATCATTGACCCAGTCCAGCGCAACACTCCTTGGCAGCAAACCAATTCGATGACTGCTACGACGCCAAACTTCTTCGAGTCGAACTTGAGAGAATTCTACGCGGTAGGCATTCATGCTCTGGAGAGGAGATGAACCTGTGGCACAGGTGAAAAAGACGTTTCATTTTAGTGTGCTTCCATATTATTTTTATAAGGAAAATATTGGGGTTGTCCCATAATTCTTGTTCGAATTTTAACAATTTCTTCTCATCGAGTTTTATCTTCCTCTAAAACTAATCGATCAAAAGTACAGTACTCGCCGTTTGAAATCGAAAATTCACGCGAATAACGCGAAACCTCGTTAATTTCATGAATTCGTTATAACTCTTTTCAAAATAGAGCTTTCGAGAATTCGAAGACAACTTTGAATTCAGCTCGTCGGACACTATAAGAATTTGCTTTAATATTTGGAAAAGCTCGATATAGGATTGCGCCATGCACTCGATTTTTATCTCAAAAAGTAGCTGCTCGCATGTGATGTGTACATAATCCCGCTTATGCGGGCTGACCGCTATGTGCATTTCGTTTTTAAGCGCTTACTGGCTCAACGTGTTCCCTCTGCTCTCAACATCCCACCTCTGTATATCAAGTGGAATCTTTGAACAGTTCTCAGCAGGCATAGTGGGCCCATTATGTGACGTTTTCCATTTTCAGAGGAGATGTTTTGCAGAATGCTGTGAAGGTAGCGAACAATTTCCTTCACTGTCGTGGATCGGTCACCTGCCTGTAAGGATTATATGGAACCTTGGTCGCAGGTAGCCTTTCTTCCGTGGTGTGACCCCAAACATCACCCCTTGTCATGCCTTTGCCCCCATTACGTGACAAGTCCCATTTTTAGAGGAATGTTTTGTAGAAAGTTACAAAGGAAGCGAAGAATTTCCTCGTAGTCTATAGTTACTTTTCTGTAGGAATTATGTGGAAATCTCGGTCGCAACTGAACGTTCCTTCCGCGGTGTGGCCCCAAACATGCCTCCTCGTCAAGCCCTTGTGGAAAGTTCAGATTTTTTGCATTTCCAGATGAACCCGCAGACCTGAAATGTGCCCCGTTAGCTTCCCCGTAAAAAATGCTGTCGAATGATATGCATTACTTCCCCCAGGTGGAACTTTGGCTTTTCACCGTTTTCACCGGTCCCCCATTGCCGGATTGTGCACTATCCCACGATTACTGCCCTAAAATCTCAATGTTTCATTTTTCGTCGAAACTTTGTCTATTGGGGTAATTCGATGCCCTGATTACGAATATGACATTCATTTTTGATGCTGGTGTCATTTCGCCACGGCTGTTTTCACCAAATCTGCTGAAAGTTCGTTATTTGGGATTATTTTAGATCCTGATTACGAAAATTACACCCGTTTTTAGCGCTGGCGCCATTTGTCGCCGTTTGGCGCCAATATGGCGTCACTGCTAGTTCCACCAAATCCGCTGAAAACGTGTGTATAAGGGTCATTTGGGGTCCTGATCACGAATATAACATCCAGTCTTGACACCGGCGCCATGTGGTGTCACAAACAACGCTTCACAGTCAGAGCGAACTCTTAGGCAGCTTTCTCAGAGCGCCGACTGTCAGACCGTGGAAATGGTCATCGAATCGGAGGCTTTCCCACGACAGGAAGGAGTCGGACCGCGGAAAACTGTGAGCTAAGCCAGAAGCATATTTCACGTTTTCACTGGAGATGCCTGTATGCGTTGGGTAGAGCAGCAATTCGACTGTAAACTCTCCAGCTGTCACTGATGATGGTTGTACCTGGCTCGATGTATGTACTACTTCATGATGAGCCGCAGTAGAGGTGAAACGTCTTCCCTTCGGACCATCCGAAGGAGTCGACCTCCTCTTTAAATGCCTCCAAACAGCCACTTGTGCCTGCGTACCCAACGTCGACGGTTGTATTTGCGTTTGATAACCAGTGTCCCGTCAATTTTCATCTCGCAACCGAACCTTCCGATGATCGGCGGGTTTCTCCTGAAGCGCCCCACACATACGTCGCGGAAGAATCGCTCCCACTGCATTGAACTGCTGTGGCCGACGTTGAGCTCGTATTCCTTGTCCTTCACCTTGCCCATGTCGCTCAGCCAGAAGTAGGGCAGTGCTAACACCGTAGACTCAGGAAAGTTACAGTTCTCGAAAAAGGAATTCTTTTGGGCATGAACGTAGACTCTGATCTCGTTCGACTGCGGTACGCTCGACGATTGCAAATCCAGCCGTTGTGCCGATCGTCGTTGATCAGGCTCATGGATCGTTGACATGAATGGCATAGTGGCACAGACATCAACCCCATGGATTGCAACCAGTAAGTACAGATTATTCAACTTGAGCGTCTCGTACACGTCCCTCAAGGCTAAGCCCTGTAGCTCTCATTGACGATTGTGTCGCTAAAGAGTAGCAAGAACCATCGTTATTCTCTGTTGTCGGAAACGTGAAACATGCTTCTGGCTCTTCGGGGAAAGGGGATTTTGGAACGTTTAGGATGGTTGTCTCCTACTAATGTGGCCAAACCCGGGAGCTGTTCCACGATGGCACTCACAAACTTGTTCGCATATAGCAAAGCGACTTCAAACGGATGATCTACCTAATCTAACAAATCAAATGGAATATTCTCTGACCATGGAGTCCGAGCTTTGGTATGATGGTGAGCTCCGGCTGCGAGGTAGCGCGTTGTTGTCGTAGTGAACTCACGACTCATCGTCACTAATGATCACTCTTTGCCATTGAAACAGAGCTCAGTGATCGATTAGTAGCAGATACTGAGACAAACACAGCGCTGATTTTCCATAGTGTCCTTCTTGCAACAGCGTCTATTTTAAGATCATAAAGCATAATCGTTCGTTATTGCTATTGAACTATTTCGACTTCTACTCAGGCATACTGAAGCGGGTTTGAACTCTCAAAATATCCTGACTAACAAACGAAATGCACTCTTTAATATACCATCATCTTTCGCAGTGACACTAATTTGGCTTGAAAAAATACGAAATTTATCAAAAATCGGACAGCAATTGAGGGACAACCTAATAATTGATGATCGAAAACGACATTTCAATCTGGCAACCCTAATTCTTCAGAAACTTGATAAGCCTTTTCAGAATTGGCAAATCTGAAAACTGTCAGACTGTCAGAGTAGGTTCCTGCTTTTCTGAAAGGCATCTCTGTTGCAGTGGGGTGTCTCAGGGTGGTGTCTTATCTCCCCTCCAGTTTTTGCTATACACAGTTGAGCTACCACAAATCCTCAATACATCGTAGCACATTAAAGTGCAAATCTACGCCGACGACGTGAAATTGTATGGCATCTATGATGCTGGTAATCATGATGAGGTTTGTTCAGCTTTGAAGCTTGCCATAGAAAAACGAAATGTTAGGGCGTCTAAACTTGATTTAGCTATAAACTTGAGTAAGTGTTCGGTTTTCCACATTGGTGGGGGAACCGCCAGGAGTTATAATGTCAGCGGTGTTCCTCTAAGAATAGTGGAGTCTGTGAAAGATCTTGGAATGTTTTTTGATTCCAACCTGAAGTTTTCTACACAAATTGACCATGCATTGAAAAAAGCTCATGCCTCACTTTTCAGTATATTTCGGAACGTTCACAGTAATAAACCTGAAGTGCTCTTTCGGCTTTACAAGTCATATGTCTTGCCTCATTTAGAATACTGTTCTCAAATTTGGAGTCCAAATCGCAAAAAGGACATAAGAAAGATCGAAAGAGTGCAGCATGTAGTAACTAGGTTGGTTTTTTCTCGGGTTTATGGTTTTGGTTCTGGTGCGATGCCTAGTTACGGCCAACGATTGAAACTGTTCAACCTGGAAAGTTTGCTTTACAGGAGAATCTTTTCAGACCTTGTGTTTACTTTTCGCATATTACGTGGTGAAATGAAACTTAGCCCAAGTAGATTCTGGATTTTTAGGCCTTGTAGCGAAAGAGGAAATGGTTTTGTTCTGCATTACCCTAAAATTCAGAGCAATAAATCCTCTCTCCTTTTCAACCTCTTCCCGTACCGAGTTGCCAGGTTGGTTCCAGCTGCTGCCTAATGAAGTGATGAAGTCCGCGAATAGCCAGATTTTTAAGGCTAGGCTGAAGCAGATTGACTTGCTTCGGGTCTGGGAGTTGACGATTGCTTTTAACCTCTTCTTTTTCAGAAGTTGTTTGTTCACAGGTTCTGTTTGCTATTTGTCTCGTCCTCCTATGATGGGCAATGTGGATTCCTGTGCTGTCTCCTGAGTTTCAACAGTGGAAGTGTGGATGTGGTCCACGATTTCGTTACGATGTCTTTTCGTTTTTACGCTGGACGGACTCAAGTTGTCTACTAATTTCGTTGCTGAATGCTGCAATGTGGATGCCGGGACACTTCGCGTAATAAGGGATCGCGTTCAATGTCGTCATCAACACATACCCAGCTCCGGAGTAAACGTATCTCCTCTGATGCTGCTCTCTGTTTCGCTCTCTGATTCGCTTATGCTTGCTTGCTCGTGCCAACGTGTGCTGTCTCTTGGCATTTGCAGTTTGAACTATGTTTCTGTGGTTTTTATTTTTGTCACTGTAGCTGAAGTTGTACTGACTCTTGAATGCAGCTCTTCTTGTGTTATGTGATTGGTCGATATGAATCGGGAGGCGAGTAGTACTCTATTGGGCTGAATTCCATCTGATTCCTCCTAGCTTCAAGCCCTTTCCTCTCTCCTTCTTTTCTCAGATTATATACTGTGACTCATTTGCACTAACGTTGCAGCTTCTTCTCTGCATAGTGACCTGTATTCTCCCTCCAATAGGTACCTAACTTGCTAATCGGCACGAGGGCGGCCGGTATACCCGTATGTCGGAGTTTCGGCAAGTCCCTATGACCCCGCAATGGCGAAGGGCATCACAGTCGGCTAATGCAGGTGCTTGTTGGTCTGACACAGTGTCGCTTCTGGAGAGAAGTTCGTCTGTCTTTTTTTTATTACACCTGATACTATCTAAGCTATTCATCCCTCTACTTTCACGGACTGGCCCCCGTTTATTCAGAGATTGCCTTCTGCTCATGTTGCCCTTCATGTAATACTAGTGATTGTGTTGTCATCAGGATTCGCTTTATTGCCTGTTTTTGGGGTCTGTTTTTGGCCTATCCCTATTTTCGAACGCCTCTTTTCTGAGTTTATCTTTGCACTCTTCTGAGCTCTCTTAATCTTTGTTTTCTGTGCTTTTTCCATCTCGTTTGTTTTGCCCTACTTCTTTTCCCGGCTTTTTCGTTCAAATTTTTTTACGCCCGTGTTAGGGCTGGCATAAATATAAGAATCAGAGAAAGAGTAGCGCATCGCGAAAAATTATTACAATTTATTGCAGCGCATGCGCTGCACACGTCCCACACGTCCTCAAGCGTGATGCGCCCTGCGCGCGAGCCATCACTTTTTTCGGAATTGGTCTCCATTCCAGGACTAGATGAGGCGGTTCAAGACTTTCCTTCCGACTTCCCTAAGCGTTGGGGGGTGTAAATTTTTTGCCTTTCCGAGGGTTGTGGATGTAGCATAGGGGATTGTAGGGTGCGTCCCAATCTCGACTCTCCTTTACAGAAATTCGCAAGTCTGTTCTCACTGCATGGCTCATGTTGGGTTTTTTTATTGTGTTTTCAGCACTTTCACCCGTTTCCAGTTTTACTCGTCCCCTTGATTAGTGTGAATTTATTTAGGTTAGACCCCATGTCAGACCTTGCGATATCGGAGCTATTCGCTAGCGTCTTGCGGTCGCGTCGCGGCACGAATCGCTACCGACTCGCAAGGCTGACCAATGCTAAAATTTAAGGTAGTAAAGTTGTTTCAAGTCATGTTTCTCTTGTTCTCGTTCTCACATCTGTTCAAACATATAATAAATCTGAATCAACACGAGTTTTATTACAGATTTGAAACTAACTAAATCTCACGGTAAGCTAATTTTCGACCAATTTCTTTCTGCCATCAGAAACCAGAAACAGAACGGCCCGAAAGCTGCTGAAAAAGAAAGGAACGCGAACAACTTGCTACATGCTAGCGAAAGCAAACAAACTTGTCGTGCGCCCTTGAAGATCTGAAAATAATGGCATGCACTAATTAGCTAGAAAATTGACGTCGAAATGTTTTTCTTTACCGATTCCTGCGTTCTTTCCTACCACAGCTTCTTCAGTGTCCCTTCTGGTCCCAGCAAAAAGACTTAAGTTGAAAATTCTGAAAAAGGTACTTCAATTGCCATAGTAAAGAACGTCAACCCGGAAAAAATTGATTGTCACTGAAGAAGAAGCTGCGGAACTCTTGGAAGGATTCCATTTGCAACGAGCAAAGAAAAGTCAGACGAGATTACAGCCTTGGCTCCAGTCAATCATATCTTCCTGGAATGCGCCATGCATTAGTTCCATCTAAAACCGAATAAGAGCATGATTCCGGCACCCAACGGTTATACGGTTAATTTCAAGGAAAGCCTTCCGATATGCAGATCAGTGGGTTTTTTTCAGAAACGAATGCGGCACTGATCAACGAGCTTCGTCGGGACGTAAGGCTCAGATGGTCTGAGCGAGAAAATTGGAGATTCTGGATAACCCTGCTCAACTGAGACCTCTGAGTAAGAACCAAGGATCCTGATACCTGAATCTTAGGTATGGCGTGTGCGTCTGATTCAAGGCTACGCCACATTCTCGCTCATTTCAAATAATCGAACTCGCGATTCTCCATTCCATTCTATGAGACCACCTTCAACTGACTTCCCCCGACTTCCGGGTTTTTAATTGCGTGTTTCAGGGCAGTCAGCTGTTTAGCCGAGCAATCTCTGACGCTCCACAACAGCCTGTTTCTAATATGAAAGGTGAATGTACTCAAGTCTTGAGCAGCTGAGCAAGGGACGCTGTAGTACATGGGTGCTGCTGCACGTCAGTTTGGATCTAACATAGCCAACAATGCCCCTATTTGTTCCCATAGGCCTACAAGTGGGTGCAATGCCCGCTAAGGCTAAATAACAGCCCTTCTCCTCGCTTGCGCCGATTGTAGAAGAGGGAATTCAGCCCATGGCATTTGTTTTGGTAGTACCTTCACTCAAGGAATCGGAGAGGATAGGGGAAAATCGTCGCGTTGCTTTTCGTATTTCCTTGTGGGCAAATCGATCTACATACAATCTCACGGCTGTTTCGAGGAGAACTACTTGCGACAAACTGCAGCATCGTTTTCTCATTTGCTCTCGAACCACATTTGCTCTGCTCGAGTGACTCTTGCTATGCGAGGGGTCTTAACAGACGGGGAAGAAGGCAGAAACAGCGACAAACAGATCGAATTAGAATATGCACTCAATCGGTCGAATCTCCCTGGCGTGGGCTGGTCAATGGTGGACTTTCGTCCCCTTTCGTCTGCCTAGATGAATTTGCTTCATTAAACTCATCACTCCAAGTAAGGTCTTTGGGGGCGAGCCACATGGCATCAACAGGAAGTTAAAAAAAAAGGTCATGAAATGCGACAGGTAATCGATTTTCCGATGTCAATGCGGAGATGTGCTGCCAAGCTTCAATTACGGCAATGCCTTGCTGCGGGATACTGCGTTACTCCGTTCATGCAAAGGCATCGCTGGAACAGTGATCCGATAGCCGCGACAGCTGGTGCATTGTTCGGACTCGCACAAGTGATGGCGATACCGCGACACGTGGGGTAATGAACGTGCAGGCTCCGCACAGCTTGTGGCCGAGTCGCTTCAGTCACCTGCTGCGCCAGCCGGTTCTCCCCAGGCCACAGGCGGCGTTTCCTGAAAGCCCTTTGGGCCACCGAGCCAAGTGCCCTTCGCGGTTGGCACCCAGTGGGCGGACAAACCGCATGGTATACAAATTGGCGGCGGCTTGGGTGCACTCGATTCGATTCGCCTGCAAACATTATCAATTCTTTCCTTTGAAAGTAACCTTTGTTGCGCATGTTTAAAGACCTCGCGAATCATCTGGCTTTCCTTTCTTTCACTTTTCATGAAAATTGACGGGCAAGCTAAGAATTTCAACTGCGATTGTAACGAACTCTTGACATTCGCCGTTTCTCGAGCACATACTTATCACGATGGCACTTTCATGCTTTTGCCCTTCGCTCGGTGGATTGATTGCGTTCCCCTCGAAAAAAGGTCGCTTAATATTTCATTGAGTCCTCAACCTTTCTGACGGGTTTCAGCTGTCCAGTATCCTCCTTTCTTCCGAGAAATTTGACGTGAATTAGGCGCTACTTGTCGTTTTTGCAGATGTGTTTCTTATTTACGACACAAAAGGGGTTTTGTTCCACAATGACTCTCAAACATTGCCTTCCTTCTTTCGAGTCTTCTTGCCATGCATAGCTTTATGAATTTATTACCTTTGCGTTCCTCTTTTGACTTTCCTTGCGGAGAAGGTGATTACCTACTCAATCTATTCCAAATATTTCATAGTTTACTTTTTGTCAGCAACTTTCCATGGGTTATTCGTTACTGATTAAGAAAATGGGTGATTCTTAACTATTCGCAACCCAGAATCGTCGAAACTTTTTTGCGTCGAAACCCGTGCTCAGTTGTGGTATTCGATGCGCCTGATATACGAAAATGAACTTATTTTTAGAGGTGGCTGCATGTGGCACCAAATGACGTCACCTTGTCGCGAATCACTTGGTTTCCACCAAAATCCGTTGTGATTTCGGTATCGGGGTTACTTGTTATGTCCGATTCGAAGATTGCATTCCATCTCCTTGGTGCTCAATTGGCGCTTATTTTTCATTCGTCTGCTCTCTCTCACAATTAAGACGCGCGGCCAGACTAACCAATAAGCTTTGGGAGAGAAGGGTGAGTAAGTCAGTCACCCTGGTCATTTCATTCCTCTTATTTTTGCCGACATGGCGTTGTTTCACCCCCCCCAGGACCCATTTCCGCAAAAGCTTAGGCCTCGCCACCATAAGTGAGGAGCCCTGGAAGGAAGAAAATTGCGTATATACGGCGCTAGTTTCAAACAAAATGCTTATTCGTAATTAAGACACCAACCAATCCGCTGTACACGATACACGAAGTATGGTGAAACTACTGTTATGACAAAGTTGCGCGCCAAAACACATGAGTATCTGTGTGCGTAATTAGGGCTAGTGGTGTGGCAGTGGTCACGCTCACCACGCGAGCGATCGGGATCAAATCCTGGGTTATGACTCGCCCGCGAACCATGACCTCCATCCTTCCGAAGTCGGTTAATTGGTACGGAGACTTGTCTGGAAGGTCAAAACACTGCCTTGTACATCCGGCTTGGCCCCGCAAGTCATTGTAACAGGCACATCGCTTCAAACTGCCACGTACGAATGTACAAATGGAGATTGGAAGCTGTGCCGCATCCCAAAAGGGATTGATCAACGGCAAATGCTTTATCCCTTTATCGCTTATTAACGAGTCTTCTGCACAGCAGAAATTCCTTCGCATTCAAGACTGAATGGGAATGGTGAAGCCTAACTTTTCACGTTGACCTTGGCACCATCACAGGAAGTTAGGTACAATGCATTTGACAAGGGCACATCTGGTAAAAGTCATAATTTTCGCGTAAACTGTAACCTAAAGAGGCTAGCGAATGTTTTAATCATGAATATAACTTGCATATTTGGCGTGCAGTTTGTCGGCTCAATAGCGCTGGAAGTAATTTTACAACCCTGATTCACGGTAAAAAAGTGGTGGCGCAAACGTGTCGCTAAATAATAAAGGCATGTTTGTGACGGGCAGGCCTCCTCATTAATCGGGCCTCAAGTAAAATGAAGGTTGAAATCTTCAGCTCTCTCCGTCTATTTTCCTCGTCATGGAGTTGTAAATTTGTTAGTTTTCCTGCTGGCGCTTAGCGGGGTGTTTGGTTAGGCCTTTATTACAATGGCCTAGCGTCGACTGATTGTCGTCTTCGAAGCGAAGATGATTCCAACGTTCGCGCGGAGTTCCACCCACCGATCAATTGCTCCTGGGTCGCGTGTTCGTTATCACAGAAAGGCGACCTTCTCCGCTCATGCCGCACGCGAAAATTTCTTTCACTGGCGGAGGCCCCGTCAGGCCACGCATGTTGTCAGAGCCGTCAGGTGGTTTCCAGCACAAGGAGAGGGACCTATTAGGTAGGGTATTGATCGGGGATATTCTGCGATTCACATGATCCATCTCACAGATATATCCCCGAGAACGCGATGGGCGCGTCCTTCCCCCCGCGAGCTCCTTGGAAGGCCATACACAGGACGCGATCTCTCTCCCTATTCGGCAATGCAATCCCTACTACCCAGAAGTGGACAGGGGTTTTTGGCAGTGCAAAAGAAGTTTCGCTCCGGAGCAAGCGGAGAAATTGCTTCCTCGTCACATCACAGCGACCACACAAATGCTCTAGTGGTGCAGCGAACCTGGCCGTCTCAAGTGCACGACTCTGAAGACGATGGATTCATAGGATCTTAGACTATTGAATATAATTCTTAACAACCTCAACAAGTGGCAACCAGGCTAACAAAACTACGAAGAGTCGGTCGAGATAAGTCATGCTAGGGAGGAAGCGGCAGCCGTCGAAACACTGCTGGTGATTGGCAACAACACCTTTGCTCTTGTTGGGGCGCAGACCTATCTAAGTCTTTTTCTGTGCATGGCTTGCCAGTAATGTGGCACGCTAGTCTTTTCTCTTTTTCACGGTATAACAGGCTTGTACGGCAGGTATGGATGGCATCTCACATGAGTTTAGTACTCCCACTCTGCTTCTTCTGGACTTCCCATCTTCTACACACTTAACGCTATCAGTTATCGGGAGTCTTATCTGCAATACCGTTTGAATTGGTAATACACCAAGCACGGGAAAGAAGCAAGAACGGTGTCTTTGTCGCTCCACTTTTGGCACTGATAACCCGCCAAAATTACCAAGTATTCGCTTTAACCTTCGGTCATGTCCTTCTGCATCAAAACTCAAGCGCTATTCATTCGCCTGTTTAGTTTCATTACGTGTTTGTGTTTCAGTCGAGATTCCATTTTTTGGCTTCCCAAGATTTCTCTCCCTGTATCACTCGCCTTTCCTGATTTCATTTTTCACCTCTTTTCTCGTCCCTCTCCGTCTGCTATTGCCCAAGCATGACCATTTCATGTTCACTTCGATCAACGACAAGGCCAGGGTAGGTTCTTATTGAAGGTCGTAGGGCCCAACGTTGGACTTGGTGGTGTAGGCATATGAGGCAGTGGACCGTCATGTTTCACTCCGTAATCAAATCGCATGAGAAACTGATGAGTGAACAAGGGAACGAGAATGAGTGCGATAAAGAATGCGCTTTGAATGGGAAGTCGTTGATGGAGTCACGCTCATGCGCGTCCTGAAATTTTTGGATGTGTCGCTACTCTAACCAGCTCTGTGAACTGGTCTACATGTTGGGCATTCGACATTGCCTCGAACGCGTGCCTGTCGTGAAACTGTCGTTCTTATATCTGCATATGTGCATTACTATGACTTTTAATCGCAGGCAGCACTCGATGGCTTTCTTCATTTGGTTACTCGTACAATGACCGAGAAAGGTTTTTGCAGAGCTACCCGTCACACCCCAACATTTGGAAACGCGATGGGACAAATGCACCTTTTGAAGGTTAAGCGTATTGATTGTATAAGCGGGACATGCGTGTATAACCCGGAATATTCACTGACATGTTCATCTTAGAATCGCTCGCAAGACTCTCGTCGTTAGCGCCTTTGACCTTTCACAAATGCGGCACGGTGACTGTGGAGTCCCCTACCTGTCTTGAAAGATAATTTACTATTCGAAGATTTGCATGTGAATGCCTGTGAACGTAAACCGCCTTCTCAATCCCTCTAGGTTGGTGTTGGTGCAACTCAGCTCTAGTCGGCGTTGGATAGGTGGCGCAACTCTGGTGAGCCTCCTATTCTGCGTTGTAGCCACGCCGCACTCTTCGGGCCGTATGCTATGACTCCGCGAAGGGGTTGAAAAGTCCTTTCTCTTATCTTCCCACCTGGGACTGCCGATTTTTTGGATAAGGATCCACATTTGATGCATGTATTAGGTAAAAGTAAACGTCGCACTGAAACTTGAAGAAGCTATATCGTTCAAGAAACACAAATTAAGATTGAATAGGAAACTCTCAGATCACTGAGCTTCGGGAACATTAAGAACACGGCCGCAGATGTTCCGGTAAGGACATACGCTTAGCTTGATCCGGTCATTTGATCGAGATCGATAGGTTTTTGAAAGAAAAAAATTGGTGGCTTGAGCTTTACAGGCGACGCTTCCACCGAGTTAGCTTAAGGGTGTAAAGGATAACATGTGGATGAGGCTCACAATGTCCCTAGACGCACGTGAGTGTCTGAATCGTATCCGAAGGTTGGAAAAACCAAGGCCTGGATGCAGACTAGCCCCCCCCATTCCGAAGGGCAGACACTCGTGAAGTGGTATCTAGCTGTGGCGTAGAAGAACCGAGCGGCGCGCTGGGAACATGTGCGACGCTGAGTTTCTGCGTGTCCGGAATGGGAAAAGCAGTCGAGACAGTAAGTAATTAAGCAAGGATAAGCGTCCAGAAATTGCTCAATCCCTTTTCAGGATGACATGCGCGTCGACTAATTACTTGGGATTCTATGGCGATTGCCTTGAATCGTAGAAGCAGTTGAATGTAGTTTACTTATACAGATTTTGTCGCTTCTCGGCCTTCTGGCTAAGATCAAGGTTTAGTTTGGTTTAGTTCAGTTTAGTTTGTTTTTTGATTTGCTGGGCAGTCCGTAAACTTCAGCAGTTTCTGCATGTCAATCGAACCGGTACTAATTAACAGGACCTAATGTGGGGCCAATGAAAATTTATAGCTAATGATCAAGGTCACTTGCTGATGCCCACATTCACACTCAAACTCAAAGCTTGAGAGAAACTAAGACTTCAAGAATTAACTTTACCTATTTTCAGGTCGTGCTAAACATTTCTTCACAATTACAAACCCATTAAATATCTTACTGAGCAGCGAAACTCTAGAGAAAAGTCGAAAAATCGTATCTGATTACAAGTAAGTTGGAGGTCCGGCAGGCTCTATTTCAGAACGTGTGCTGCAGTATCTGTTACTTTTCTCAGGAATGGTATCTATGACAAGGATCTCACAGTAGATGAACTTTGGCATGCAAAGCACGTCTACGACTCAGCTTATCATCCGGACACCGGCGAAAAGATGTTCATTTTAGGAAGAATGAGTGCTCAGGTGTGGTTTAGCAGTCATAAATAAGTTTTTGTATACAGGATAGTGGAAAGCATGTGTGCAGGAAGCTGCTTTCGTCTCTCAACTGTTCATCCACTCACTTATCGGAAGATTTGGCTGCACAGTTGCTGAAAATGAGAAGCTGTGATTGAGTACTCAACTGTTGAAGGTTTTGCCATTACCCTGGCTATTTACTTCCCCAGAATCATTCGACGGCGAAATAATGAGCTCTTCGCGGCTACCCTTCTATGCTTTCGGCATCAGTTCGTGGCAGCTGGTCGTTGTCATAATGAATCGTTAGAGATGATCACTCCTGTGCTCACATCCAAGGATCCATAATGAATGTGAATTAATCAGGGTGATGGGGTCTCATAAAAGGTTCTTTACTAGATTGGCTTTCATGGTCCACAGCACACACAGAAAAGAGAACGCTTCGAGCTTTTCGACGATATAATTTCCAGCCTTTTTCGGTCAGACAAGTTAGTTGTGGATGAGTTCAAACAGATTGTTTTAGGTTCCGTGCAACATGACGATCACTGGAGGAATGCTCACATTTTACCAAAAGTGAGGGATTTTTCTAAATTAACTTTATCGTTGAGTTTTATGATTTTCCATTTGAAGAAACTGCTTCTTCAACGCTCTTTATACTACCTTAAAGATCCTTGACGCGGAAAATTTCTTGCTACTCTTTCCAACGATGATATCGTCAGTCCTGATGATCCTCGGAAAACAGCACACAACGTTGCACGCATTGAAGATATTCGCGTTATCTGCAAGCAGGAAACAAACCGTACAAAAAGACTACACGTTATGGACCATCGAAAGACCAGGAAGCGAGAGGCCAGGCGAGGCATGGAAAGAGAGCTGCGTTTGGCGGCCAAGACCAGGCGAGCGCAATGATGAGAATCGGCAGTCAAAGCGCGCGATTCGGAGAGTGGAGGCCAATCGATCGAGGAATAGGATGGAGTAGGGAAGTAGTGAGATGTGAATGGCAACGAAGCAGAAGGCCAGAATTGAGCTTCTTAGTGAATGCACATCTAAGAAACCGAGTTGACGCACCCCGGTCGCCACATTCGTGAAAGACGTCCGTGGGCCATCTTTCGAGCAGCGTAGCAAGTGCCTGTCTCGAATTATCTAATCAAACGAAAGCAAACTTCAGTTTCTTTCATATTATCGTGTGATAATGAGTCTCAAGGCGCAGTGATTTATGGCTGAATAGAATCAATAGATTTTTCCGCGCAGGATTCCTTTAAGATGACATTCCGACAAAGTACTTCAACTGGATTTGCAGGGCGCCTACATGTGTTCTTTGTGTTGGGGCATCTAGTGATCGTGAGCCAATTGACTGTGCTTGGTGACTAAGGCCTATCGGGCTACATGGCGAAAGCTCCGGTTTCCGCGTTCGGTCTTTGGCCGACGTCACGAACGAGCAAGAGCGCGAGCTTATGCACAAAGAACACTCAAGTTTAGTTTCAAATTATTCGACATCGTCCTCATGAGGTTTCCAATGATACACCTGAGCTTCCCCTACAATTTCAAAAATCTAATTCTAGGGCAAGGAGGTAGCTGTGAACATAACACAATCATTCTCGCCCACGCGGACATCAACCGATTGAAAAATGGTATGGTGTCAAGAATACCCAGCTTTATTCGTAAGCGCACTGCAGCGGCCGTTAGCCACTGCTCGGCCCCTTTTTTTTAGAATCTGCAACGTCATTCTTGCGTCAACCGCGCAGCGCGCTCGTTCCGGCCACGGTGGAATTCTTTCTCTCCTCCTAACCCTAGAGAGAGCGAAGTGGTCTGGGGACGGGAATGTGAACAATTGGTGCCGTTCTCCCTGAGCGTTGGTCGTCTTTTGCCTGGGCTGTCACTCCGTTAATTCCTTCGTCATCACTACCAGCGGCACTGGTTTGACGTCACCCTCCCACACCCCCCCTCCAAAGACGGGCTTGAGCGCCTGGTGTACGATGTCTTGCCGCCGTTTTTCGTGTAGCGGAATGGTGTTTCTTTTATTTTTGTTCGTTTGAAATCATATATTGGTGGTGTTTCTTGAAGGAGTATCTCTCGTCCTTCTCTTACTCCTGCTAAGGGATGAGACAGGTCAACGTTTTTCATTGGCTCGCACTGCTTTGAATGGGGAGGTAGGGGACTCCAGCCTTATGAGCATGAATTAGTATATTTAAGGATCGTGCGCCTCCGGTAGCATTTGTCAGAATCTGAGAGGGTCGTAGCTGCGAGGAAGGAGGAGATCATTTTTATGCAAGATGTTGCAAAAGGATAAGAGGGGACCAACGTGGAAGAAAAAGAAAAGCAAGGAATCTTGCAGTCTTTTCGAGGTAATATAGATGCATTATGCCTACCCCCTCCGACAGGGTAATGACTAGAAGAAAAAAGGTGACTGAATGTAGGTTTGTGTCGAATGGTCAACAAAATCAGTAAATAGGATGACGGAGGAAGATGAGAGTATTCGGTCACGTAATGGGTGGCGGTGATGGTGGAGGGTAGGTCGGACCATCCCACGCACCTTTTCTGCTCGCTCATATGGCGAACGCCTACTTTACTTGAAATATACGAAACGCGAGGCCTGCCGCATGGCGGGGATGATTGCCCAGCCAGAATCGGTATATTGCTGAGGTCAAGATTCACGCTTGGTAACGACGGTGGATCTTCACTCTCGAACATAAGGACAAGCAGCAATGTTGTACAGCTTTCCATCCGTATTTGGAATCAATTAGGTTTGAAAATATGATGACTATAAATGTGTAGATCGTTATTAAAGGAGTTTGGTAGGAGAGTAGAAAGGAGTTTGGTAGGTTTTCAAGTGAGTAAGAGCGCTTTCAAAAGCAATGAAACGCCAACTATTACTCATAAAAATAACGCTGCACAAGTCATACATCATCTAAGTTTGACGCGCTATAGTTGCATTTTCGTGTATTTATGAATTAATTAATGAATGTAGAAAAGATGGTATTTGCCTAGTATTAGTGGGTGTATAGAAAAAGAGGGGTACGGTGAGAAGTGACGAATAAGCTGCAGAGAGCTGTCAGAATCATGAGAGTCCAAGTCAAAAGGCGGTGATTCTGTCAGGAAAGGGCCAGGGCGTGCGAAGAAGTGGTCGAGGATTGTACTTTAGGCATGAGAAGGAGTTGTGATATGCGACGAATTTATGCCTGTTTAAAGGACTGCACATGTTGTGTTCTTTCAATGGATTAACCAGACATTCAACGCAGTGGTTAACTACACAAACCGCAGTGGGCCTAATCCGGTGAGTGTAAACGTTACTTCAAATCTTATCATTTTTTTGTTTTTATAATCATGTATTCACTCTAAGCTGTTGTGAAAGACGTGATGTTTGACTTTCCTTAAATTTTATTCCATATCGCATAGATTTCGTCGGAACGTCTTTTTGCTTCATATGTCGCTGCTACAGGTGGAGCAATGGCAGCAGCTCTTGGGGCTAACCGAGTGTTAGCAAAAATGAAGGTAAGGTTGTCATTTAAACTTGTAGAAAACTTGTTTTTTTAACAGCATGGTGCATTTAATTGCAAGGCGGTCATTTTTTTCCTCGCAAAATCTTGGCAGAAATAGTAGTAATTTTCTTGCAGAATGTGCCAAGACTCGTCGGGGCGCTGGTTCCATTCTTAGCCGTAGCTGCTGCAAACGCTATAAATATCCCAATGATGAGAAGCAAGTCAGTTTTTTTTTTCACATTTTCTTCTGTTGGGTCGGTAGACTTTTTTCAATACATTGACAGCCTGTTTTGGCGTGTATCTCGGCTTTTTCGGGTTTTTTTTTCCAAACCGTCAATAGCCCCTGGCAGTGATAGGGGACTAAATAGTCTGTTTTTCGCAGGTTATTGGAGCTAAATTTTTGTGGGTCAAACAGAAGCACATCTTCGTACGAACTTGGTGGAAACAATGACTTGCGAGGCCAGCCGAGGTATAAGTCATATTCTTCCCAACTGGTCTGGTTCCAACTGATCGACCCCGAAAAGGTGGGGACTCGGATGGCTTGTACATCGCACGGTCCAGGATTTGACCCCTGGCCCGCTCGTGGTAAAAAGCGCGACTTGCCGCTACACCACTTCCTCCCTTGGGTTAGTGTGACTAGGAAATGCTGATCATGGTTAGTAATAAGGCGTGGCAATGAATAATCGGCTCCCCCTTCACGAGTTTGAGCGTGGCCACGGTGAGCGCCGCGGTGAACGCAGCCGAGCCAATGTGCGCGCGACGGTGTTGCATGGGGCGCGCAAACTGTAATGGAGCACATTCGGATAAGTGCTGCTGACTTTCACCATTTAGTTCAGTCAGATCTTTACCGTTTTTGGTGGAACTCGGGTTCGGGGAGGGGGGCACGCGATGACGCAGCACTGTTTTCGTCTGTTCCTCCAAAGCCCAGTGGGAGGGACAGTTACTCTTCTGTCACGTGGCAGTTTCAAAATGCGAGCCATCGGGACCACCGCTGCCAGCGTGCCACAGGAGCGAATGTCAACCTCTGGAAAATTATGTGGAACTATTGAAGCCTTTTTCCGAAACGGCTATCATTTTTAAGAATGTCATATTTGTAACAAACATTGTTCAGACTTGTGAAAGTTTATTTCGAAATGAATATCAAAGTATACAGAGCAGCGGTAATTTGCCCCCTATTGTGTATATGTAAGTATTAAGCTCCACTACAGCTGAGGTAAAAAAGACAGTAGAATAAGTCGTAAAAACTAGTAAAACGAGATAACTAGCAAGAAATTCTCGGCTGAGAAACCGATACACATCTTTCTGAAACCTTAGAAACAACTTGATGCTTTCATCTTTTTACTCATTCTTGAGATTCCAGCTACGCTTCCATTCCACTTATGTTGATTTCAGTGAGTTTGTCGTTGGAATCCCTGTCGAGGATAAAAATGGCGAAGTACTAGGATCGTCACTCAACGTACCTTATAGAGCCATTCCACAAGTAACGATCAGTCGAATTATCATGGCCACTCCAGGAATGGGTGAGTTTTGAAAGCTGTCTCTAAGTGCTCTGGTTTTTGAACTGTCATATTCTCACCCTCTAACGAAGTAATCTGACAGTCTTGTTAGCCGCTTGCGTACTGTTCAAGCAAACACCGTTTCTATTCGCTTGACGTCATACTGTAAAGATTTTGTTGGACATCGCTTGAAAAGCCCACATCTGTTCTTCATTTCCACTTCTGATTTCAGCCCTCCTTACGATGTTTTCATTTTGCATCGCATGTGTCTACAAATTTTTATTTCAGTGCTCGTTCCAATAATTTTCCAAAGATGCATGAAAATGCGATCGTATAAGGTAAGATGACTTGGCAGTTTTGAGTTTGGTTTCACTCATCGTCTTTTAAGCTCTTCGTCACATTGCAGTTCCTCGTAGTTTGTAATATATGAAGCATCAATAATTAATATGGTCACCAGTATTCATTGAAAGTATTACTCGCGCACCGCCTCGTATTTGCAATGCAACGGTCATGAGCAGACGGTCATGAATTCCTGCTGGAAACCCTATAGCAGCCGCCAGCACATTGTAAATATTCTTCGCACAATCCGTTAGCTGCGGTTCCACATCCACTTGTCCGAGGCCTGGAGTTATAGGCATTCTAGCAATAGCATTGTTACGTAAATTTCGTAGGTGTGGAAGTGTGTTCAAACGAATAATTCGAAATTTCCAGGGTAGTTATTTTACTTCCTACGTACCACTTTCTATGATTTAACGTGTTTTTGGATACAAAATACAGAGCGACGCAAAATTTTATCTTGTTGATGTTTGCTCATGAATATATGGGTTTAGTGGAACTTACATGAATTACATACCCGTTGGTTGGTTAGCCACTGGATGGCAGACCATACAAACACTTTGCCTTGGCTTTTTCTTGACGGTTTTTCGACACCGCCTATGTTGTGCACTGTCCTCAGAAAACAACTGTTTCGCGTAAGTTGTTTGGGAGTTATTGATTCGTTAGAATTGTAACTGCATAGTATATCTAACTATGTTCCCAAAAAGCTAACAGTCGATATCCGAAAGTTGGGGTTGGGAGTAGAAAAAGGTAGAAAGTGCGCGGATAGTTATATGCCGCATACTTTGCCGATAGAAGCCGATATTATGTCGCGAGCAGCTATCCACATCAGTTTCTTATCAGCGCCAAAAGTGAATGTTTCATGTCTGTGTGTTGTAAGCGAGCGCCTACATACCCTAATCAGCAAATTCCAGCGACCCTGAATTTTGATCTAACTATTGACGATAGTCAACAATCCCTGGGTCCATTTATCCAGCCATGAAATCCGCACGCACGACTCGGAAAGACAAGCAGTCAATTTGCCTGTCAACACGAAGGAAAACCCAAACAATGGAGCCGGCATGACGGGCTCCAGATGGCATAGGATCAGTGCCACGCCAAACAAATGGGCGACGCGGTCGCATTTTTTGCTCGTACGTTGGGAGATGATGGATAGGCTCTTCTCTTCTTTCGGTTAGGGTCCTGATCGATAAGCCGCGGTCGGTAACCAGCAAACTTGGTGTGACACGCACGTCACGAAAGAAAACTTTTGTATTCACCCGTAAGTCATACATCGAAATTTTGACCGCTAGTTTTGCCGTCTGCCAGGCTTCGTTTCTTCAAAGTCCTACCAGCGAAACGTACGTGACGAGCGCCAATACACATGGCGCACACAACGTCTCTGTGTTGGATGATTGGAATCCCAAATAAAATTACTGGCCACAGGCGGATTTCGGCTTTCTAGACGCCTTCAGAATTTCAGCCTTAATAGAATTTTGCCATTTGGGGAGAAGATTGAATTTGGAATATTCTGAAATACTTCGGCCTCCATGTCTGATGTGCAGTGTGAAATTCTTGCAGCCACGGAACTGCAGAAAGAAGATTGCGCTGCTTAAAATCACCAGAAACGTCTATTTTACAACAAAGTTTAGTGATCGCAGTTGAGGGTGTCGTTGTCTTAGAGCAGATTTACTCATCACTTATGCACTATACGTGTCAGTAAACTAGTGAGTGATATAATTAAAGAAATTTAATCTTAGTGATTTTGTCTTCTTCTCGTCGTACATATAACTGATTCTTAGTCGAATTATCAGGAAGAAGATATCAGAGATTCCCTTCAAAAAAAGAAAATTGACAAACATGTTGTCAGGCACGGTCGTGCGTGCTAGGTCACCGTTTAGGTGCAGCTAAATAAAGTGCGATGTTGTGGCTTGACGAAAACGATTTTAAAGTACGATTCTATGTAAGCACCACGGTACGCCGGAACATTGACTTCCTTCTAACCGATATATTTATTCTTGACAATGAGTGTCAGGAGTGTATCCAAATGCGCGGTCACATTGCCATTGGGCGCCACGCAGCGTAGTTGGCCACCAGGGTCAAGACGAGGCCGTCGAATGGAAAATTTGGAAACATAGCGACCCCCCCTACCACCTCCGGCGAGAGGCGATGGGTCCATAAAGCGACACTCTTCAAAAAGCCGAACTAGGGAAAGGTTGAAAGAGGCGGGGCTTAAGTTTTTCTTTAATTCTTCCCCCAAATGCTCATAAAAGCACTGCTACCCCACCGCCCACAAAAAAATTCGTCCAAGAAGTACAAAAGTGAAAAAGTCAAAGAATTTTCATTATTGATGAGTCCTACCAAACGAGCAAACGAGAAACAGACCAAAAAACGACAAACTAGCCACTTAAAATGGCATACTATGACAACATCTGTCCTTTGTTTATTTCCTCCACAAGACTTACCAAATTCTAGTACTACACAGATTGTGGTTTTCAATTTGCACGTAGCCCTTCAGTTGAAAGAAGCTTTTCAACCGCCCTCGCCAGCTGTGTGTTGGCTGGACTTTGGCGTTGACCGTGGAGCAGCTTATTTACTATTGAAATTTGAACAAATATTCAAATGATTATAACTTTCTTCAAAGTTAACGAATTTTCAATCTGAAAGCTGATTTGGGAGTTTTGTGAAAAGGTTTTTCTAATCAGTACTGAAATTGCAGGAAGTTATAAGAAATAACAAATCTAGATCAATTAACGAGGAAAATTCGAGATGAGCACGAGTTTTTACACTTTCCGAAGCAACAACTTGCTTCATTTTCGTCAAATTCGAAAAGTTAATATGGCAGACAAAACTAGAAGATTTTCTCTACCAAATCGTTTCTAAAGCAGCTCTATACGTCCAGTATTCGAAAAATGCCCACGTTGAGGATTTTCGCAAAATTAACGAGGAAAATTTGTGATGAGTGCGAGTTTTTTCACTTTCTGAAGCCATAACTCCGTTCAAACTCATCCAATCCAAAAAGTAAATACGCCATCATAAACTAGAAGATTTGCTCTATCAAATGCTCTCTAGAACTGCTCCAAACGTCTAGTATTAAAAAAACGGCTACGTTGAGGATTTTGCACGAGTACCGCCGAAAGGTACTTTTTCGCTACATTGGCACTATTTCAACGGCTGTATGTCCTTTCAAGGGCGATTATGTACTAAAGTAAGAGCAGATTTAGAATCACTGTTTTTCTCTCTAAGAAAAGTGATTGATTAGCGTTTCTCAACTTTAAAAGTTACATGTTTATAAATTTACCCCGAAGAGTCCGTTAACGCAATGTTGAATAGTGTACACCTCCCTGTAAATGCGCACGGACACTTTCAGAATTCTCTCGATTGTTCCTGAATTGAGGTTGTTTGTCCAAGGAGCCGTAGTTGAAGCGCGCGCAACAACTAGACCCTTTCTCGGATGCGCCGTGTACCTCTCATCCCTTCCGATTCGGGGTCTTACTTGAAAGATGAAATATCTTTTGGAAAGCGTGCAAAATTCAAATTCTTTAACTTGTGTGGTGATGAAACACTGAAGTGACTAAGAATTACCGAACGCCTCAGAATCACGAAAATTTTGTGTGGGTGAAATCATTTTCATTGAAAATCCTCTGGCCTGGCATCGACTCATCCTTGATATATGTCTTCCAACGGTGATGATCCCACTGCATCAAAGACCTGGTGATGCAATCCATGGCATCAAAATGGCCCGTCTCTTCCACCAGCGGGGCAATCGACCCCCTCCCGCGTGACGTGCGAGGATTCCATCAACGCCGCTTGCCTGGTTGCCACCAAGCGCCTCCCATATCTCGACCAGATAACTCGTCCGGCTCCCGAACGAGCAGATTATCGTGGTCGATCTATCTACAATGGAGCGCGCCAGTGTTAGCTGAGACTGGCAAAGCCTCCCAACAAAACAAACCAAAACTAGCCAGAAATAAGACCAAAATGCAGCCGCATCGGCAACTAATCTCCAGAAAAAAACAGAAAAAAAAAAAAAAAAAAAAAAAAAAAAAAAAATAAAAAATAAAAAAAAAAAAAAAAAAAAAAATAAAAAAAAAAAAAAAATGTCGATAAAAAAATACAAAAAAAAAAAAAAAAAAAAAAAAAAAAAAAAAAAAAAAAAAAAAAAAAAAAAAAAACAAAAATAAAAAAAAAAAGAGGTGAAATAAAATAAAAAACAAAAAAAAAAAAAAAAAAAAAAAAAAAAAAACTTTACGAAAAATCAAAACGAACAAAAAAAAAAAAAAATAAATCACGTGCACCATTCTCCTTCGTCCCATCCGGCTTCGTTCTTGCACTGAGTTTGCTCTTCACACTTCAACTATTGGAATGACTGTAGAGTTACTTCGAAGTGGTTGTGTCACGATCATTTTGGAGCTGTGATACATTGCACTTCCCAGCAACTTGCAGTGCACGGTAACAATTCCTATACGGGTAAGTACTCTTTTTTGTTCAGTGAACTGTGTACTGGAAAGTGTTGTGTTCATCCAAACTAGGCGGTTCTAAGGAATCATTCTTGTAATCCATTCAGAATGGCCTATTTGCTGCCTTCATCTAAACCTAAACAGTATCACGGTTGCAGCTCACTTGAAGTTTTGCGCTGCAGCTTCACTTCTCATCCTTTTTTGTTAATTTGCCACCGCTTACGATTCCCTTCACTAACTTATCCGGTGTTATATTCAACTTCATCCCTCTTTGAGTATTTTTGGTTAGTTTCTATGTCCTGCCTCACCTTTTGAGAATTACACTCAGCAGTAATTATTACTTGAGGCAACTATGAAACGTGCGATGTTGCATATAATATGCCTAAGGAAGTCAAAAGGACACCGAGGTTGGGACGAGACATGCCTTCGGCAAAGTACAGTTGAATCACAAGAGCAGAAAACAAGTATCTCATTACCCAACGAGGGGAGCGCTCAGTGGAATGGGATCACGATTGAGGAGAAAACATCGAAGATAACACATTAGCAAACGACAGTAGATGAATTACTCGATTAGGAGAGTCCAAAGAGTTCAGGAAAACTAACTGTTGTATCTCGAACGCTTTGGTTCTATCCCAATAGGGACATGTGGTGTGGTTTTTGTACTGCTTACAGTAATGCCAATTTTGCAGGGGAAGGAACCCTCAAGATGCGTGATCAACTTCGCTTCCACTTTTACATCCACCTTGGAGCTCCCTATCCTTCCAATTTCTGTGTGGTCAGAATCGCACGCCAAGACCATTTTCACTTTCTTTCGCGCATAAATCAACAAATGCTGGCTAGTTATTTTCAAAATTTCTAACTACGGTGATTGGTTCATATACGCACTATCAACAGAACAAGAAAAATAAAGGAAAATTCAAATGAATAATGTAAAGATAATCGAGACAAATACACAAAAAACCACTAGCGTGATGAACAACAATGAAAAAAATTGAACACGAATATTAATGAAAACAAAGAAAAATGAAAAATACATAAACAGAAAAATACGAAAAATATAATAAAATAAATCCACTAGAATAGAGATATAGACATGAAAATAAGATAGCGATGAAAATATCACGAAATCCAAAATGATTCGATAATACAAAATACACACAAATGAATGAACAGTAAATTATAAAAATAGTGTGAAGGGATATGCAAGAAAGAACTAGCGCAAAGAACGAAGCCGGAGGACAGAGGAAATGGTGTACTGGGAGTTTTTCAGTCCACCCTCACTGGCGCGCTCCATGTAGACAGACACCCACGGTAAATCTGGCTCGTTCGGTGGCGGACAGACACTTATCGGTCAAGATTTGGGAGGCGCTTGACGGGTAGGCAACTCACAGCGGCAATCGCGCCCCAATTTGGCAGATGTTGAACCCGCCATTGAACCGACTCCCTTCCCCCCCGCTCCCCCCCCCCCCCCCCAACACTTAGCGCCGAAATCTTGTGTGTAACGTTAGCTCAATGAGTTTTTGATGAAGGTCATTTTCTATTGGTTATGCGTACGTGCTTCTTATACAGAGAACGTGCACATGGCGAGGAAGAACGGATAAATTCAGACACTCTATCTTTGGAGACGGATATTTGACATGCATTGGTAATCGATTTTATTGGACTGACCTTTTGTAATTTGCCCAGCGCAAAAGCCGCTACTTAATGGAGTTCTGCGATGTTGATTTACTAAATTCAAGCTGTAAATGGCGAATTGACCAGTAGGATCAGGTTTAAAAGAACTGCCCAGTACAAAGTATGATGCGTTCTTTTAGTGATTTTTTGAAGAAAAAATTCCAAACGAAAAAGTACTACCGTTCTGATTGATAGTAGTGATCCAGAGACCACAGAATTCAACTGTATGTCCACCTGCATTGTTTTAACTCGTGAGTTTGATAAAATGTGCGCCACTTAGTATACCTCTTGTTTTCCATTCACATGATAATGGTTCATGATGCTATTGGCCGTCCTCGTTTGCTACTGTGAAGCACACTGTTCAGGGCAAGGGTGCAGCAAGCCCCAACTCGGGAAGGAATGGTCAAACTGAGTCTTCTAGTTCTATGAGCAAATCTGGTCAAGAAGAGAAGCCAGAGATAAGGAGAGCCTAGAGTCTTGGATCCGTGTTCATCTGTTGGCTGCTGCACCCGGGCGGATTGTCTATGGAAGAAGCACTGCTGTTAGACTGTTTTTCCATCTATTTTCAGAAATTGTTCTTTCATGGGAATTAAAACTTAGATGAATACCAATCTTGTATTGTGTTTACTTTCCCTATATTTTCTTTGCAGTCGGCCTGTTTAGGTCGACGCAATTACTCAGTTCGCTTGAATCAAAACAGTGAACTAAAGTTGCTGTTTTGCTCGACTGTTTGCGCGGCTACTCGTTGGTGTGGGTAGACAGCGCGACGGAAAAGAGCGAGTACTACACTTTCAAGCAATTGCCTAGATAGAGCGTCGGTGCGAGTGATATGATTTTATGCAGTCATCTTAGAGGAGTTTTTATTCTGCAAGGCAAGTGGAGGAATTGCCATTCTTTTGTTCGCTATCAAGATAACAAAAAGTGCAAGAGTGTAGGAGTAGCGTTTAGACATTCGGTTATGAGAAATAATCCATTTCTAGCACAAAAGTTCCGAATAAGAAAGGTGGGCGTTTTCCACGTACATGGGATTTCATTTTTTAATCGGGATTTATCATTTAAAGGGGTACCTTTTCATACACTAAGCTTGGCGGGTTGTGAAGCGGTTTCTTTGAGAAGAACAACGAAATTGTTGGTCTTCAGCACATGAAACTCTACATTTTCGATGATACTGTACTCATAAGTGGGTGAGTTGCCTTTTTTTTTGCTTCAGTGCAGATTTAGCGTTTGAAGGAGTCCTTCTATAGAGGCAGTCACGCGGCGTAAGAATTGTGAGCCATTTCATGTGAATAGCTAGCTATGCCTCGCCCAAATTTTCGCTATCTGCAGAACTCGACTTTTAGGGCTAACCTATCAGACAACTATTTTGTCAATCGGCAAGATAGATATGTTGTGTTCGAGAACAAGGAGTTGGCTGATTTCTTTCATAATATCGTCACTGCGGTAGGAGAGTGCTCATTTCTACTCAACTGCGACGGTTCCACGAAGCTGCATCCCAATTGTTTGGTGCATCCTTATGAAGGTCTGCCTGTATTTCTTAGATGTTTGAAGCTGGGTGTGTTCTACAGCCCTCTAATTTGCTACTTATTTGAAATTTCTGCAGGATCCTTCATTGATTTCCACGACATGTTGAAGGAGCGGGTCAACAGTGTCGTTGGTGAACTACAAAATAAAGATCGCTCGTCGTCAACTCGCTTGAAGACACTGTACTGTATCCCCTTTTACAAATGGGCCTATTCGGATATAATGAAGAATACGAATTACTGGAAAAGCTTTTTTCTTCCAAGGTACCTTTCATCGTCTAGGTATTGGTAGTTCCTCATTTCTTTTCTAATAGCACTGCTTTACGTCAGAACGCCGATATGTGCTTAACTATGGCGTCGGGATACTTCAATTGTGTGGAAGACTACGAGCGGTTGATATTCTCAAAGGGCAAATATTCCATGGATATAATTACTGCTGCACCTAAGGTGAGCTTTTGATACAGTTGATTTATTACTCTTATTTTAGTTATGAGTTTAAATCATTCTTACCCGTGTGATTATAAAGAACGAAATAGCCTCCAGTTCATAGGCTAACGGCTTCTTTGGTGCAGCAGGTCTTTCTGGCTATGTTCCTTCGATGTATTCATGGGTAGCAGCCAGTGTCCTACAACTGAAGGAAAAGTATAAAAGAAATACAGTGAATCTGTATGAATATTACCGAGATGGTTGGACATTCCACGCCAAAGGTCTTGGATAGAGACGGCTTCGCACACGGCAACGCTCGTCGGCTCATCCAATTTCGGTACGTTGACAAACGAAGTGTCGATTTTAGCCATTTTTCTTTGAAGCAAGTGAAACATATCAAGTTGTGAGGCAAACTGGGGGCTTCTGAGTGCTCTCGGAATCATCGGACATGATTTAGAAACTTCGAAAAGCCGACCGGCAACTTCAGGTCAACCAAGTAATTAGGAAACTTTTTATTTTTTTGCGTCATAAGCGGCCCCTATTATTTTTTGGATAAGAAAGCAAAATACGTAATCTTCGGGTATGCGACAATCTATTGTTCATAATGAGGGGCATTTTCAACTCACAGTGTAAATAAGTTTGGGAATATTACAAGTTCATTCTAGGATATCGCTCAGTTCATCGTGATCTCGAGGCTCAGATCCTTCTTGTAACGACAAATGAACGGCTACGTGGCCAACTTAAAGACGTGAGTCGAAACTCATCTCAAGCTTATTTTGCTACAGTGCAAAATTTGCTTTTCAGGAACGGACAAGACTTTTTGAATTTGCTTCTGCTCTGGATGCG